TCTGAGATAGTGTGGTCATCTTATTTTTTTCTTGGTCCTGGACTGGTACCATTGGTATCCCTCCTGCCAAGTGCCCTCATATTCTTTATTTTCTTGAGACAGAGTCTTGCTCTGTTACCTAGGCTAGAGTGCAGTGGTATCGTCATAGCTCACTGCAACCTCAAACTCCTGGGCTCAAGGAATTCTCCTGCCTTAGCCTCTGGAGTAGCTGGGACTACAGGCACATGGGGTCTCGCTCTTGCTCAGGCTGGTTTCGAACTCCTGACCTCGAGCAATCCACCCGCCTCGGCCTCCCAGAGTGCTAGGATTACAGGCGTGAGCCATCGCGCCTGGCCTACAGCTGTAACTTTTAAAAAGATGGCTTTAGCCAGGTATGATGCATGCACTGGTGATCCCAGTTACTTGGGAGACTGAGACAGGAAGATTGCTTGAGACCAGCTTCAGCGGCATGGTGAGACCCTGACCCAAGCAAAAAAATAAACCAAAAGTTGATTTTGTTAGAAATTTGAGATTAAGAAGAAATTTTTGAGTGCTAGGATTACAGGTGTGAGCCACTGCACCTGGCCTGAAACTTAACTGTATTTTGAAACATAAATTTGAGCTTGAGCACTTTCTAAACTGGAATACTATCTCTAAGAGGGGCTTAGGCCAGGCATGGTGGCTCATGCCTGTAATCCCTGCACTTTGGGAGGCTGAGGTAGGAGGATCACTTGAAGCCAGAAGTTCAAGACCAGTCTGGGCAACATAGCAAGACCCTGTTTCTTTAAAAAAAAAAAGAGGAGCTTGTTCCGTATATTGATCTTGTATATGGCAATTCTAATCCATGTGTTTAGGGGTCAGGACCTAATTAGCAGGTCGTCAGGTGAAGCTGGTGAACACTTGGGGGTGTGTCTGTGATGCCCCCTGCAGGGCACTGCCATCGCCAGGAGCATCTGCGCTAAAGCCCAACTGCCGAGGTTGCTGCCACTTGCTGGCTGCTGACCTTCAGCAGGCTTTTTGACCCTTCTGAGCTCCGGTTTCCTCATTTGTAAAGTGGAGATATTTATAGCACTCATATTTAGAACGGCTGTGGGGGATTAAGTGAGAGGATTAGTGAGCACTCAGTGAGTGGTGGCTATTATTAGTGTAGGTATCATCTATCCATAAGTACAGAGGTGGTCCAAGGGATGGGAGGCCTTATGAGAACGTGGAAGTTAGCAGACTGCGTCTCATCCTGTTCCATGGGGCCCGTGTGTCCTCAGCTTCGCCAGGTTTGTTGGAAATGATTCTGCGATTTAAGAAGTTCATGGAACATTTACTTAGAGTTTATTCACGAAACTTCTTGGGAATGGTTAGTCACTTGACAATGTATATTTTACTATTAATTCGACCCGACCCCCCCCCTGTTAAAAGTGACAGCTAGAGCTATCAAGTTTCATGGGTTACATAAGATTCCAAGTTATTGGGTATTTTTTTGAAGAATAATTCAGAGTTTACATTTTCTACTAGCTTCTTTTGTAAGTCTGACAGATCATTTTAACAGATAACTATGTCAGGTTACGCAGTACTCACATTTCGGTAGGGTATAGAAAATCTTAAGTTTAGGGTTTACTCCTAACCTACTGGTTCCAAATTACAATCCTCTAAACATTCCTAATTCCAAGCTTGGTATCAAGTTCAGAACGTATAAGATTCATTTCAGTATTCTTGATATTCTTTTATCCCTTATCTAGACCACAAAAAAACTTAACGTCATTCGCACTGATGGATCTTTCTTTATGTAAACTTCCCAAAGTACCTCAGTAAATTAACTTAGCGTATCTTTAAGCAAGCATTGGGTTACCTGTTCAGTCTGAGTTCTCTGGTAAACTTCAGGCGGCTGAGGACCACACAGTCAACAACCGTGTGAAAGCTTCTTAATGGCTTCTACCTGTGTTTGCGATGAGAGCAGCTGTGATTAGGGCTGATACTCACTTGAATTCTAAAGGTGCCCGTGGTGGTATGTTTTGAAAGGCTTTTAAATGGTGCTAATGTGATGCAATTGTGAATTGTCATAGCTCGCTGGTTGGCTCAGTAGTCCACTAAGAGAAAGACAAAGGGATTGAGGGTATGTTTTTTCCTCCTTTGAATGTCTTTACCTTCGAATGCAGTTACTGCGCAACAATGATAGAAGAGTGATTAAATCTGCAAATCAGAGATGGGAAAGTGGCCTCTCCTTGCCATGTGAAGCAGGACGGAGGTAGGTTTTTTTTTTTTTTTATTTTATTTTTTTTTTTTTTCTCAGTTGTCTGGAAAGGTAAGGTTTTAAAGAGAGTTGGCCAATGAGATGGCAGCCATGCACAAGTGCACAGGAATTGGGCTGGGGAAAATGTTCATTAGGCAGCATCATTTAACAATGAACAAAAGAGAATTTTTCCTTCACAATTTGTTGTTAATTTGATTACACAGCATTTTCATTTACCCCTAAGGTTTTCCACCCCAGGAACCACTAGCATTTTAATTAGCATCTGAGTAGAAATACTGTGTTAATTTTATTGAGAGTCACTACTATTTAAATGTGCCTTATTTTAAATACTTTAGTTTAGGGACATTTTCCAACTGGAATAAGGAGAAAGCCCAGTGAGTATCATCATGTCTCTTAGTTATTTACAATTGTTCAACCCTATACCTATTTAAATGGACAAAATCAGTCTGGTTTCCAATGCAAACTTAGCACGAGGATTCAGATTCATGATATTTAAATGGAAAACTGTCGGTAGCCTAGTTATGAAGCAGTAAAAATATTAGTTTTTTTAATTACTAAATTGGCGATTCAATGAACCTGGTGTAGTGAGGATTGGGAACTGCTGATTAATGCTGTGGAGTTGACGTGTTGAATCTTCTAAGGGCAATCTGGAAAATGTGCATAAGCTTCAATATGTGAAGCGATGATCCATATGTTACTAGAAAATGCATATAGGATTTCAAAGTTATGATCTCCAGGTACGTTTTATATTTATATTAATGTTAATATGTTAGGAAACTTATATCAAATGCCACAGTGACACAAAAAATTGTGTATATATTGAAACCACGATTTAAGGAAGATGTTTGGGTTCTCAATTTTTTTAGAATTATTAATTGTAAGATACAGAGACTATTAACAAGGATTCTGGGTACAGGTTACAATGTTTTATTTCCTTTGTATTTCCATGTTATTCCAATAAGACCTTTTTTGTGGACCAAAAAGAAGTTTTTAAAATAAAGGAGTTACAATTAATTTTCTAGTAGATTGAAGTATTATGTCTTATTAAGTCATCTTTTGCGATGAACTGTTATTTTATTAATCGTACAAAATGTGTTGTTTTTTTTTTTTTGAGACAGGTCTCACTTTTTTGTCCAGGTAGAGTAAGTGCTGTGGCGTCAGCCTCGTCAGCAACGTCAACTCCTGGGCTCAAGCATCCTTCTGCTAAGCCTCCCAGTAGCTGGGTACAGGCATGGCCACCATGCCCAGCTAATTTTTTCTCTATATATTAGTGGCAATTAATTCTTTTCTTTATAGTAGAGATTTTGAGGTTGCAGTGAGCTATGACGATACCACTGCACTCTAGCCTAGGTAACAGAGCAAGACTCTGTCTCAAGAAAATAAAGAATATGAGGGCACTTGGCAGGAGGGATACCAATGGTACCAGTCCAGGACCAAGAAAAAAATAAGATGACCACACTATCTCAAGAATACAAATATGTAATAAAGCCAACATACTGGCCAGGCGCAGTGGCTCACACCTGTAATCCTAGCACTCTGGGAGGCTGAGTTGGGTGGATTGCTCAAGGTCAGGAGTTCGAAACCAGCCTGAGTGAGAGCCCCCTCTACTAAAAATAGAAAGAAACTAATTGACCAACTAAAAATATATATACAAAAAATTAGCCAGGCATGGTGGCGCACGTCTGTAGTCCTAGCTGCTCGGGAGGCTGAGGCAGTAGGATTGCTTGAGCCCAGGAGACTGGGGTTGCTGTAAGCTAGGCTGACGCCTTGGCATTCACTCTAGGCTGAGCAACAAAGTGAGACTCTGTCTCAAAAAAAGAAAAAACAAAAAACCCCCAACATACTTAGGGAATGATATAATAACCCATGTCAACAACTTTTCCAGATAACTGAAGTTTATTCCCTTTAACTCCTGAGGGGATCCAGGAGTGGCACGGCCTGGGAACAAGGGAGCCCCAGCAGCACAGACCCAGGGCAGAGCCTCACGCAATCTGCGTGTGTAGTGGAAGCACGCTGGCTAGGCTAAGATGTAAAGTTCTCGATATCTGTGAGAATGCCTGACTAGATGAAGAAAAAGCAGTCCTCCCACTCTGACATGAGAACCGCTTATGGAGAGTCGTGCTGATTCTGAGCCTGACCACATCAGGAGCAGAACTAATCAGGAGCAGAACTGACCAGCAGCTGTCAAGAGCCTGATAACTGACCGAGCAGCCATCCAAATGCTGCAATGTGTGTCAGGAAAGGGCAGCATGCTGTCGTTGGCACGGCATAAATTTCTCATGGAACCTGGCACACCAAGCCCCTTTTCTATTAATAACTGAATATAAAAACCAAGATCAATTGCAAGAAACAAAACCCCACTAGAATCTTGAGAGACTCACACAGCTGTCTAGAGCAGACCATGTGAACAAATCAAATTCCAGCAGACAGAATTCTAGGGATTTCTTTCCTGGTTATCATATTCACAGATCTTAATATAATATATTCGGATAATAAAAGCTCTTCTTCAAAAAAACCTTTTAAAATTAAAAAGGCAGAGAAAGTTTTCAAGACACATTTTGAAAGTATTCTCAACTCATTTCTTAGCTTCGGACAAAATGTTTACATTTTCTCCTATCGCAAACCTGGGATATAATGTCATAGAAGGAAAATCCCAACAAGTCAGTCAGCTCTAATGTCATCAGATTCACAAATGCAGCCCCCAAAGCAAAGCTCTGTCCATGTCCAAGGGCAGATTCCTTGCAGAGCTGTCCAAGCATCAGGGCTACGTCCTTACCCGGGGCAGCTGATCCCACTGTTCTTTGTTCTTCATCTCTTCTTGCACTTCATGGATCCGCTTCAGAGACTCCAGACTTTCATCGAGCAAAAATGTCGTGTCATTTATCAGCATGTTTATATAGCGAACAAACTGCTTCCCAGAACTGAAAAAACAATTGCATTGTACATGGTCTTATATCTCCCTGAAGCAAAATGCCACTAACTGCACATCCCAGAGAAAATGAGCCCCTACCCAGAGTGCCAACCATCTCATCCTAGAAGACTGCCCACCTTGGCACAAGTCAGATATTGTGGAGTTCAACGACTATCAATCTCTCTATAGACTGTGTGATTCTTTTAAATTAATCGTGACAAGCTCATTCCAGTGGTGTTTCAGAGCCACTCTGCATGGCTCATGAGAGCCAACTGCTGATTATTCCAGAATCTTGTGAGCTGATTCCCCCTGGCAGCTTAAATGTGGCAACAGTGGAAATATTCACACCATGGAAAACCAGTAAATGCTGCATCCTCCTACCCGCCAAAGCAGGTTTACCAGCACACTCCTGGCTCATTCCCTCAGTGTTTTTAAGCAGAGAAAATACTCTTCCAAACTAGAAAAGGAAATACGCTTACACTCACCAAGACACAAAGAAAACACAAATAATTACCCACATATAAGAGATGAGGAACTTCTGATAAAGTTATTCCTATCACAAACACATACACATTAAAGAAAAATGGGAATGTGCAATATTGATAAAGATATTAACCTACTTAATAGAACTTGATACTAAGAATTTGCGTAGTAAAAAAAAGAAAAAAAAAAAGAACTTGAAGCTTCCAATCTAAGAACTGTGCTGTAGATCGTGTTATAATGAGGGACTTGTTGGTGAACTGCAATAGGTTGACCTGCCTCTGTTAGACTCTGGAGCTTCCAGATTAGTAGAGAAAAGACAGGCTACACTTTAGGATTTGCAACTATGTAATCAGGGGGTGGCAAACCCATAACTGGGGAAAAGAAGTTCCTGCAAATAAGGATGGGAGGCCTCTATGAGGAACGTGGAAAGTTCAGGACAAGCACTGCCAGTCAGCACCCCATAGATTCAGCATGGGCCCGCCTAGTGTCCTAAGCTCTCGCCAGGCTTTTGTTGGAAAATGATTCTGATTATAAGAGCAGTTCATGGAAACAAAGAATTAACTTAAGAGTTTATTCCACAGAACACTATCTAGGAAATGGTTACTCCACTTGTAACATGTATATTATTGACTAATAATTCAGTTAAGAAGTGACAGCTAGAGCTGATCAAAGATCTAACATGGGTTACATAAAATCCAAGTATATGGGATAATTTTTTTCTGAAGAATAATTCCAGAGTTCAACATTTTCTACCTAGCTTTCTTTTGTAAGTACTGACAGATAATTTAGACAGAATAACTAATGTCCAGGTTTAAGCAGTAACTCAAATTTCAGGTAGGTATAAGAAAACTCCTTAAAGTTTAGGGTTGTACTACCCTAACCTAACTGCTTCCAAATTTAAAGTCCTCCTAACATTCCTAATTCCAAAGCTTGGTATCAAGTTCAAGAACAGTATAAGATTTCATTTCAGTCATTCTGATAACTTCATTTAATACCATAATCATAGAAACACCAAAAAACACTTAACACATCATCTCAGCACATTGATAGGATCTTTCTTTATGTAAACTATCCCCAAAGTACCTCAGAAAAATCTAAAATTCAGCAGTATCTTTCAAGCAAAGCCATTGGGATAACCCTGTTCACGTCTAGCAGTACCTCCTGGTAAACTTCAAGGAGGCTGAGACCGACCACACAGTCAACAAAAACCCAGCTGTGAAAGCTTTTAAGTGGCAATTCTACCTGTGATTTGCAAGAGAGCAAGCTGTGACATTAGGGGCCTGATACTCACTTGAACTCCTCCATAAAGGTGCCGTGGTGAGCTATGTTTTGCCAAAGGCTTTTAAAAATGGTGCTAATGTGATAGCGAATTGTGAACTTGTCATAGAACTCGCTGGTAGCTCCAGTATGCTCCACATCTAAAGAAGAAAGACAAAGGGATTGAGGGATATGTATTTTTCCTCACTTTGGAATGGTACTTTCTTACCATTCGAAATGCAGTTACTGCAGCAACAATGATAGAGTGAATATAAATCTGCAAAATCAGAGATGGAGGAAAGCTGTGCCTCTCCTTGCCATGTGAAGCAGGAGAGAAGGTAAAGGTTTTAAAGCCCAGAGTTGCACAATGAAGATGCAGCCATGACACAGTACCACAAGGAATTGGGCTGGGGAAAATGGTATCATTAGGACAGCATCAATTTAACAATGAACAAAAGCAGAATTATTATCCTTCACCCAACTTTAAGTTATTAATTTATAGAAATCACACAGCATTTTACATTTTAAACCCCCTAAAGGTTTTCCAGGAACACATAGCATTTTAAATTAGCATCCCTGAGTAGAAAAAATACTGTGTTAAATTTTATTGAGAGTCACATACCTATTTAAATGTGCCTTTATTTTAAATACTTTTGTATTAGGGACATTTTCAAACATGAACTAAAGCAGAGAAAAGCACAGTGACTATCTCATGTCCTCATTAGTTATTTACCAATTGTCAACATCCCTATACCTATTAAAATGGAACAAAAATCAAACTTGGTTATCCAAATGCCAAACAACTTAAGCACGAGAAATTCCAGAATTCATGATAAAATTTTTAAAAATGGAAAAACTGTCAGGTAAAGACCATAAGGCTTATGAAAGACATAAAAAATAAATTAAGTTATCATTTTTAACTTACTAAATTGGCAGACATTACAAAAATGACAACACTGAGTGTAGGTGAGGATTTGGGAAACTGGCATGCTATAAATGCTGGTGGGAATGAACAGTATTGCAATCTCTCTAAAGGCAATCTGGCAAAATGTAGCATAAGCCTTCAATATGTGAAGCCGACTGATCCAATAATTCTACTCAAGAAAATGCATATAGGCATATTCAAAGACTTATGATCTCCAAGGATACCCAGTATATTTTATATTACTATTAATGTTTATGTTAGAGAAAAATATAAATAATCCAAATGCCCAACAGTGGACACAAAAAAATTGTGATATAATAAGTGAAAACCACAGATTACTAAAGGAAAAGAATAGTTTGGGTTCAATCATATTTTTTAGAAAATTAATTAATTGTAAGATACAGAGCAAAATATTAACAGAGATTCTGAGTACAGAGATTAACAATGACTTTTATTTCCTTCTTGATATTTCCTATATATTCCAAAGAAGACCTTTTTTGTGACCAAAAAAGAAGTTATTTAAAAATAAAGGAATAACATAATTAATCTTATCATAGTAAGATCTGAAAAGTACTTATGTATATTCATTAAGTCAATCCTTCTTTGAGATGAACTGTTATTTTATTAATCGTACAAAAGTGTTGTTTGTTGTTTTTTTTTTGAGACAGAGTCTCACTTTTTTGTCCAGGATAGAGTAAGTGCTGTGGCGTCAGCCTCGCTCACAGCAACGTCAAACTCCTGGGCTCAAGCAATCCTTCTGCCTAAGCCTCCCAAGTAGCTGGGGCTACAGGCATGCGCCACCATGCCCAGCTAATTTTTTCTCTATATATTAGTTGGCCAATTAATTTCTTTCTATTTATAGTAGGTTAATTGGATGTTGTTGAATCAGAGAGATCAGTCCATGTAGAGCAGTCAGTGTAGTATCCTCCACTACTCAGGGGAAAAACAGCCAATAGTACATGCTTTGCTGGCAGCAGGACTAATAGGTTACACTTATAAATAGAGTCAAGATAATTAGGTACATGTTCCCCAGTGACTTTGTCCACTGGCTTCAGATGACCTTGCCTACATCTGACCACCCAGATGGCCACCATGTACACCAGAGGAACTCTACTGTATAAAACTTCATCAGCGAAGGTACCTAACAGTTTGGTGGCGAGAGGATGATTCTCACATTTCAAAAAACTTCTGGGTCGTGCTGAACAGAGGGTTGGTCATAAACATGACTTCTACCAGTTTGGCCACAGATATGGATGCGGATGTAGTTCTGGTTGCACAACATCACGACAAGGAACATCACAATATCCTGAGTACAGGGCTCGTAAAGCACCTGAGGTGAGTATTCTGAACGGAGGTAAGAAGAACAAGAAATAAATCTCTGAGAAACTCTAACCTGGGTGAAAAGACTGGTGTCATGAAGTTTAGGCCGGTAATACAGGCCAAGGTGCACAGACGCTGAATGCCCTTTAATTTGCTGACTTTAAAGTGACTATTTATATCATAACTACACAGATTTAAAAACCAAAAATTTATTGGCTGTAAGAATGTTAAGTTAACTTATGATGTTTTAGAAAATAAACAAAGCTTAAAAAAATGAAAGATTAAACAGGTAAATTCACAAAAGATTCTTTACTACCAAAGACTTAAAATTTCTTGATGGAGTTGTTTTAAATTTTAATAAACTGCTAAAAATGAGAATAAGCATAAACAAAATTTTCAAAAAGGGTTTTTCAATTACTGTGCTGAAACAAATTTAAAAAGGTGACTTGAGTTGCTTGAAATTCCAAGATTTTTTTAATACATAATATTTTACATATTTATGGGGTCCATGTGATATTTTGTTACCTGCACAGAATGTGTAAAGATAAAGTCAAGGAATCTGAGGCACTCCATCACTGAGTATTTTTCATTTATAATTGTGTTGAGAACAATTCAAATTTCACTTTCAAAGCTACTTGAAACATACAACACGTTGTTTGTTGTTAACTAAAGTCTCTCATACTTTGCTGTCCAACAATAGAATTGATAACCTTTATCTAATGTCATGCTTGTTCCCTTTAACCTACCCTTTTCTATCCCTCCTCCCCACCCACCCTTCTCAGCCTCTGGTACTATCATCTTCCTCTTCCTATCTTTTGAGATCAACCACAATTTTTATCCCCACATGTAGTAACGTGTGATCTTTTGGTTTTCTGTGCCAAGCTACTTTTCAAACCCAAATAATAGCATGATTTTAGGCAAGCCTTTTATAATTTCTCACCATATCAAAAGATCATGTGTTACCTACTGATTTCTGCTTTTTTTAAAAGTAGTTCTTTCTATGGCAAGCCAATACGAACTTGGCTCATTTAATGGCTGCTCTTTATGAAACACCATTTACATTAATATAATTGTCTTGAATTTTTCTGTTACAAAACTCTCACGATGTGTATTTTGTGAAATAGTGACGCTGAACCTATACTACTGCTTTACTTTTCAAAACAGAACTTAACGATACTATTACATCATATTAGCCAATATTACCACAACACAATGCATCGATGGTGACAAGGAATTGGACTGTAATTCGCTACAATGTCGTTAATGTTTTAGAAATAAAATTTCTAATTTATTTTTGCATTTATTATCTGAATTTCAGTAAGACCCAAATAAGGATTTGAAACAATATTCCTGGAAAAATGCTCAATACATTATAAACTCAACACCCATTCTTTGCACTTTTTCAAATTTACAATTGAGACAAATTATGGTAGAAAATATAGATGTGGGTTATTTCTGCTTTGACCGTTCAATCCCGCAGAATTTAAAACTGTTCCTTCTGGTTCTCAGAAACACAACCACTCCAACTATTAGAAAATTCAACTTAATTTCACAGACAACTGGACATTTATTTATCGCAGCTGTTAATCCTGCTTCTGTTCTTTGAGATATAGGAATTGGACTGGTGCGTCACAGTTGATTTATTTTTCAGCTTTAGGCAGCATTCTCGGTTTAAAACCGGCGGGTACAATCTAAATCGGCATAAAATGGAGTGCAATAAAATGTCATAATATCTTTTTTTTTTTAATGCAGGCTGAATATAATTCATTATCATGTACATATATGCATAAAACATCAAAACTATGTAATATGTTAAAGGCAGCTTAACTGACAATAAAAATAAAAATTCGGCAACATCTTCTATCATAAAACTTAAAGGTAAATTGCTGCAAATACCTTGGGAACTCGAATTTAAAGGCCCAGTGTTATACTGTCAAAGAGAAAAAAAGCACCAATTTACAAAATGAATTAGGCTAAACTACAAGGAATTATTATACTATCATTAAGTAAGCATTTATTATCGGGGAAAAAACGTCATTCTATAAGAGCAACCATCATAAAAAGGTATGTAGGTAAAGAACACAAAGGAAATAAGCAGGGCATGAATGAAGATAGTTCAATACAGCTAGGCTGTGGTGAAATTTTTTCCTTATTTTGATTTCCTTATTAAGGTTAAAGGGGGGGGGGGGGGGGGGGGGATGCAATAATAAAATGGGAAGCGAAATAAAAGGCATATTTGGTATTTGGACAACTCCAAAACTGAAGACAACCAGAGGATGTATACATGTATCTTTTAAATAACCTTTTTACACCTCTTGCAGAACGTTAACAATTTTAGCCAAAATCAGGACTCAAACTTTGTAATAATATGTAAAACATAATAAATAATAAATAAAAATGGCTGCGGAGATGTCCAGTTGGTGAGCGAAGTATCAACATATTCCTAGCTCACTCCTATGATTAAATGGTATCCTTCCAGTGTTCTTGGAAGGGCCTAATATTCTCGTTATCAGCAGGCTTTTTAGCTAACCGCAATTATATAATTTCCTTTCTATCAAAGATGTTATAGCATATTTTTAAGAAAAACTATGTCAAATTTAAAATACAGGTGCCGACCCTTTCCACCTATTACTGGTAGGTAAGCTGCAGGAAAGACACCTTACTAAATACCATGCACAGAATGCAACCTGGAAACCAGAAGTGAATCTTGCTATGGTAAGGGTCTTGGTTTTAGTTATGGACTTCGGAAAACAGTAAAGACCACAGCCCAGCTGAGCAGAGACAAGGTAACAGAGGAAGCCACACCACTCCCACTCCGGGATATGGCGGGGTTCCAGATGCGGAGGCCAGCAGCTGAATGCGAGAAGCCATAAAAATTCAAGGCCATCCTTCGCAGGAAAGCTCTTACTCAAGTAA